GGGGCAACTGATGAAAAGGCATCAAATTACTTACATTTTCAGATAATGATATTTGAGTAATATGTCTGTTAGCATTTTAACAAGGCCTCGCAATGAGACAGCCTGCAGGAGGCTTGACATTAAAGATGTCACCGGTTAAGCTGTACGTTTCATCGTGTTGTTTCTTCACTCCGTTTTCCTTCTAATTATTTTACAGTTTCCTGTCGCCTTTTCAAGATGGCTAAATTTAAATTTGCTACAATACTAGGCAGTCTCTTCCTCCCTCCACGTGGTTTGGCAATGATTTCTGAGGGAAATTATTAAAAACGCAGCCTTTAATCGGGGTGGGGGGCGGGCAGAACAGCACACAGAGCTGTGATGAGAGATGGGTCCTATAGTTAGATTCTGGTAATCGCGTAAGAGCGGTGGAATTTGCAAAGGTTGCGATAGGACGGTGGAATCCATAATTTCTGAAGATGTACAGAGTGATTTACAGAGTGATGCCGAGACGTAAAGAGGATGCCGTTCTGTGCTTTAACCCCTGACTGGAGCCCTGCCGGCCCTTTGAAAAGGGCCATTCATCTAATAGCAAGGATGCTTTCCTTCTTCAAGGGTCACAATTCGCTTAACACACTTCTGTGACATTATTTGGGCATTTTTCACAGTGATTAAAGATAACGCACTTTTCTCTGTAGACTGTTAGGTCACAGGCAAATTAAATCAACGTATTTCCTTCCCTTGCTTCCTCGGATGAGTCAGAAGTTATTGGTCAAAGGCGTGCATGACCTTTTCGTTAAGCTTAAAAACCCAAATGACCTGCTGAGAAGATGCTTGGCCAATCTGATTATTTTCTCTGCACTAATTGGTTTTACTTCTTCTTCGAATTGAATGAATTGCCTGGTGGTTTTGTCACTGTGGGAGCACAGCTTAATCCACTTAGAGCGAGGCGCTTGGGCTTGGTAAACTCTGGAGCTCTAGAAACGTTTTTCATCATTGTGGTCTTTGGGTGATTTTTCATAGGTGAGAATGCAGATGGATCTCAAATCCATCCGTTTTCTCCATTTCTATTTCCACTGCCCTAGCCAAGTCATCTCACCTGGCCCCCTAGACTACTTTGGGAACCTTGTAACTGGTTTTCCCATCCTATTCCCCTCTCTCCTTCTTCAGCCTCCATATAGTAGCCAAGTGCCTCTTCAGAAGATGTAGACCTCTTGCTGGAAACACTGGTTTCTTCACAATGAATGAAGAATAAAATCTAAACCCCTTCCCAGGGCTGCCTGCACCCTACAAGATCTGAGCCCTTGGTGGCTCCCTCAGCTTCATTTTGCCCCGTGCTCACCACCATCTTTCCACCACCGCCTTCCACTGATTCCTTAATCCTCCCAGCTCCATCCCACCGCAGGGCCCCTGCCTCTGTTCCTCCTTTGTCTGGAATGGCCTTTGAGGGCCATTCTTATCCTGAAGGTCTCATTTCAGGTGTCACCTTCTCAGAGATGCCTTCCTCAACTAGGCAAGCCAGTTACTCTCTGTAATCTGCCCTTCAGGGACTGTTACTCTCTATAATATTCCCTGTTTATCATCACTTTTGTTATTACTCTACCCTCTCCTGTTTATTGCATCTTTGTCATAGCCTCCTGTGTATCGTTCCTCTCTGGGGTTCCCCCCGTTTATTTCCTCCGTGACCCCCGTCACAACCTCAATTATCTTACTTGTCTCTGTTTCTCTTCCCCGTCGGAACAGAGGCTCCTGAGGGCCAGGGCACCTTGGTCTTGTCCTCCAGTTCCTCAGGGTTGAACATGGTACCTGGTTCCTTGAAGGAGCCCAGGACATGTCTGTTGAGCGGATGAATGAGATACCAAAGACCCCGGTGCTGCCTCTTCAGGTGATCTCAGTAATGTGGTGCGCAAGTGAAGATTGTTTGTATTAAAGGAAAAGTCATTGCTTCCTTTCCCAAATTGTCGCAACGTTGATGGAGTTTTAAAGTTGATTTACTCAAGCTTGGTGTGCTCGATCATCTTAGTGACCTACCCCTGGGGGTATAAGGAGTAGGTCTGTTCTTCTGGGTTCAAGGTAGAGGACAGAGCACATACACTTCCTACACTTCCCTCCCAGACATTAGTGAAGGAATGTGTTTGGAATGCCCAGGCCCAAGGGGACAAGATGACCGGAGAAGAAATGGCGCCACAGTTGTAGGGGCTGGAATGCAGAGGCTAGGTGGTCACTGATTAGCGGACCCAAGTGAACTTAATCCTTGTTTAACAGTGGTCAAGCCCTAGACATTCAGAAATCCATGGTACCAGGTGGGGCTGAAAACAGGAGCGTTGGTCGAAAGAATCAGCAGCATTCAACCCCCCCGCCCGCCCCCCCAGATCTGCACCCCGCCCCTGCTTCTCAGAGCCTGGTCACGTCCCTCACTCTCGCCCCCATATAAGACTCTGGGCTTACTCTCTGGAGACTCTACAAAACGCTGGGGAGCAAGGGGGCTGTACTGAAAACAGAGGGTTTAAACAAAGGCTGGCACCGCACATCTAGGCCTCCGCTCTCAATCCCAATTCTGACTGCAGGATGCTGGCACCTGCCTTACACTTTCCAGGCAGGAGATCAGAGAACTCCTTGGGCAGAAGCCGACCGGCCTGTGCGGAAGACCTAACGGGGATGACTTCAGGTCTCCCCACATCAACAGGGCAACCAGATAACCCTGCAGGGAGGTCCACGATTGACATTTTATGTTTGTAAAGTGTTTCTAACCGGTTTTTTAGTGCGTATTTCCTAAACATGAGCAGGTAGTTAAGATTGCCGGGTATCTCAGGGAAGCCTTTAGTGGGAAAGAGAGAGAGAAAAACTAACAGAAACAAAGGAACTTGGAAGAGAGACAATATAGGAAGAGGCGAACTTCAGCAATAACAATGACAACAGATCATTATTAATCTTGCCTGAGACAGAAGGGAAGATGTTGGAGCCATGAAATAGTAACAGGATGCTATAAAGAAGGAATAGTAATAATTAATAATAATAATGAAATTAAAAACATGATAGCAGACACGGACACCTCTGAGTTGAAATAGAAAGTTGAAAGAATTCTCCCAAGTGAAAAAGACAAAGAATTAGAAAATAGGAGAGAAAAGATAAGAAAAATAGAGGATTAGATCAAGATGTCCAATAACCTACGAAGAGCAGTTCTAGAAAAAGAGAAAAGACAAAACATAAGGAAAAAAATATATCAAAGAAATAACATATTTTTCTAAAATGGATAGACGTGGTTCAGGTTGAAAGGGCCCACTGAGTGTCCAGACAATGAATGGAAACAGACCCAGGACCATGGTAACACTGGCATAAAAAGAGTTTAGGAGTTTCCAGAGAGAGAGAAACCAGAAGGTTTCCTCCAAAGGATCGGGAACCATAAATCATGTTGGCTCCAGACTTCTCAACAACTAGAGCTCAGTGGAGCCACATCTTCAATTCTGAAGGAAAATGAATTTTAATTCAGACAGCTATACCCAGACAAGTAGCCAATTAAAGTCTAAACAATTTTATTTCACCCTTTCTCATGAAGCTGCTGGAAGTTTTGCGTTAAGAAAGAATGCAAACAGAGTAAACCCAGGAAAAAGAAGCGTGGGTGTCCAGGAACCAAGGAGGTGAAGAAAATTGCCAGGATGAGGGTGGCACACGGGCTCAGCCCCCATCGGGCCAAGGGAGCAGTGGTCCACTGGGAGCAGGTCAGAAAGTTTTGAGAGACAGATTTCCAAGGAAATGAAATGGAACCTAATAAATGAAATAAAAGACCACAGGGAAGGAGGTGGGAGGATGATTTTAGGCATAAGTCCATACAAAAAAGTAAGCAAAAGAAAAAGACAAAATAATGATTAACTCCAGGGAGAACAGTGCTGGCAAGAAAGGCAATGTGATCACAGCACGTTACCTGGCTTGGTGGTGAAGAGCGTGTTCCTGGACATAAACACTGGATATCCTAAACAAAATTATGACATCATAGTCGTATGACTGTAGAGAGGAGAGAGGGGAGGGGGTGTGCCCAGGTGTGCAGGTGATGAAGATTGTGGATGGGGGAGCTCGTCCTAAACCCTCCTCTCCCCTCATGACGTCATAGGCTATCCTCCAAACCTGAAACAGGGAATCCAGAAGGGGTGCTACACGCTTGTTCTTAGGAGAGAAGGAGATAGATACAAAAGGAATCCAAAGTGGGAAAAGGTGAGTGGGTGGGCAGGTGTGGCTGTTTCTCTTAGTACACAGAAATACTTGACTTTTAAAAACTCTGTGCATGTGTAGCGTTAATCAAGCTAAAAGCAGATGTAAAAGTGGGTTGAATGCTTTTCTCTGGTGACACAGCTCTTCTAGAATGTTTTTCTGATCTCCTCTCACGATGGGATCTACTTGCTGAAACTCTGTGGTCCTTCGGACTTGTATCCCAGGCCAATATGACAAAATGGAGGAGAGAGTACCGATGAAGGACGAGGGAAGGGCAGCTCTTCCCCTGAAAGGGAGATGCTGTTTTGGGGATGTTGTCAAGGCCGTATCTTCGTCACCCCTCTCCCCCCACACATCACAAACACCACCACAGAACCACAGCAACACAAAAACCAACCTCCCTCCTGCTGTCAGCGCCCTGATGGAGACTAAGGCATCCTACGTGATAGGGAAATTTCTACTCTCGACCCTCAGTTGAATGGCCAGAGAATTCAAACCGATCCAAAATTAACCCATGTGGCCAGGAAGATGACTTTGATGAAAAAAAGATTCACATGAAATATCTTCTAAAATATCTGTAATCGAGGGAGTTTTCTGCCTTGGGAATTGGTTTTGCCATTTCTTTCCTTATCAGAAGTGGAGACATTTTGCTTGACCACGTGAACCGTTTCACGGTAAATCCATTTCCCAGATACACCGTGTGAGATGAGGCTATGAGTTCAGAGCTGGTCGTGTAGACACAGATCAACTCCTAGGAAATGACTGTTGGCTGGCTTTATAACTTCAGGTGTATATCCATGTGCCTCCCCCCTTTTTAGGTCTAAATCTGTCAGGGGAGCCGCCTTGTGCTGCCTCAGAATCCTCTCTTTGTGTTGGGGACGGAGAGAAGGAGGAGAGGAAGGAGGGCAACAGACACAGCTCGGGAAGCTCCTGTCCTCACCCAAGTTCAAGAGCTGTCAGGGAAACAGACAGATCAACCTCGAAGGTGGGAACTGTGGCTCTGAGCGGTCTCTGCCTGTCTCTTTTCTAGATTTATGCCTCTTTTTTCTTGTTAGTGTCCAGTGTGGCAAAACTCGCTTGGGCCACCTAGAGGTTTCCTGGCACAGAAACCCCGTGAGGCAAGCAGATGCCTCCAAACATTGCGCTCAATCAGCCGGCGACTTGGGCTGTGAACTTGGGATGATCTCACAGTTGATTAAAAAATCCCAAGTCCCTTATTATTTCATACCTGAATAGAGATGCCTGTCACCCTGCGGAGGTCACTGCAATGCGGCATCAATGCCAGGCAGAGTGGGGGGCTTTGGGCTGAGAAACATGAAAATGCTATAGTCCAGACCGCACCTTGAAAAACCGCTAATCTGGAAAAACTCAAATGCACGGTACTATAAAGTAGCACACCCGCTGCAGGAGCAGTGATGATTTAAAATCGGATGCTCAGAACCGGTTGGATAATTGAGTGGCTGGGTTTTCACAAGGCCAGATACAAATACAGAGCTGTCTCAGTAGCTTATTGTGTGTCAACACGGAACTTTACTGGAGTTATTAATGCATCAATGAGTTATTAATGAAAACCGATGAGAACATTGTATCGAAGTTCAGGCTCTGTAAAGAATCATTAAGACCTCCAGACCTTGTTCCCATTGAGGACCACGTTTCTGACCACAAGTTTTTTTGTACCAATTAACCTTTTGTCCCTCCATTTATTTTCCTTTGCACACTGCTGCAGGAGATTTCTCCATCTGCCGGTGAGCATGGGGGTCGTCGTCCTCAGAATCCAGCTGTGAGGTCAGGATTATCTCTGCCATCCGACTCCTTGGTGGCAGTGGCTAATGACAGACTTCCAGCCCGTGGCAAAGGTCTGCACGTGGGATCGCCTGAGACTCACCTGCCGCCCCCCCCAGGAGCAAGTCTCAACAGACCCCACACCACGCATTTTCTCAGATGCTCAAGAACCTTCTTCCTTTGAGTCCAAAGGAACCTCTCTCTGCCATGACCTTGCTACCTCTGCGGCTGCCTTTTGTCCTTCTCTGGGGAAAAGAGCAGGTCACACAACCCTGGGAATCCACAGTGTGGAACCACAAGACCACAGCCAGGGTGCAAGGGAGACTCTGACGCAAAGCTCCCCCGACAGAAAAGCGATAGCAGAGGGTGTGTCCCCATCACTCTGGCCAGGGAAACCTTCATCTGGGCGACTTTCAGGTTCAGTTCCACTGGGGTCCACTGGAAAAACTCATCTTGAAATACCAGCTTCAGGACCAGGTTCAGCTAGTTCACACCAAGAGGAAGGGAAACACAAGACATTCTTCCCTTCGGGGGGGAGATACGGGTGTGGGGAAGTGCGGGTCCCCTGCCCTCCTGTAGGAAATGACAGTGGGAAATGTCAAGGATCTGGATTCATCGCTCTAAAGGATGGTGTGGTTCCGTCTAGCCCAGGGCAGCCCACGGAGATCCCTGCAGCCCCTTCGAAAACCCTCAGGAAGAGGAGTTTGGAAGGAATGAGAAAGCAAACTCGCGTGGAGTTCAGCGACACCAGCAGCGATGATGAAGATCGGTTGGTGATAGAGATCTGAAACTTCCAGAGGAAGATGCGTCCACGGTCAAAGACGGATGGTGCTTCACAGTAAATGCCGTCAAGCGGGCAGGAGGACTGAACTCTATTCATGAAGCCCCTACAGAGAGGAAAGCCATTTGGGGGTCTTTCTAAGATCTCCCCAACCAACTCTGAAACCCAAACGCAGCTTCACCCTTCCCAAGAGGCCCTGCTCGCAAGGCACCAGGCTGGGCAAAGCTGGCAGTGAAGCAAGGTCTAAGAAGTCTTGACCTACACAATGACTGTGGCTTGACTCCCAGCTGTATCCACTGCATTGGTCCTTCACTGCCTCATCTGGGAAAATGACATTGACCCAGAGAGCCACGATCGACTTGTTTCCGAACAAATGTGAACCCCCCCAGAGTCAAGGTGACAGGCTTCCTCTGTTAGTGACCTGGGGGTTGGCTTCAAAGGGAGTGAGCATACTTGGGAAAACTGGGGTAGCTTGCAAAAGAGATGGGGTGTGAACTGGGCATCGAGATACTTCTGTTTATTCTGGAGACAAAATCCAGGTTCATTCAAAAACTGAAGTTTGGTCCCAATAATTTGCCTCCTTAATGGAAGCTGTAAATATACTTCAAAATGCCCATGATCTGATGAAATACTAAGTATCTTTCAGTGTCGCACAAATGGTCAATGCTTACGTATGATTCAGTGACACGAGCATGTACAGCTCTTGTGCCCAGTGCCTTTTCTGTGGAGACCTCTGAAACCCTTGGTTTTTCCAGCTCTTGCAAAAGGGACGTTGTGTTAAAAGTTAACAGAACAGTCTCTGTAATGAGTCATTTTTGAGGGGGAAAAATTCACTTATTTTCCTCTGATTCTTTCTGTCATATTGTGCTCTGAGCAACTTCAATTAGAGGGTTACATTTTAGTAATCTCTGTAGCTTAAACTGCTGCCTGCTCATCGTGATGGGAGCCTTTTAGATTTCCTCCAGAAGCTTCAAGGATACAAAACTAATTGGAGTTTTGACGCTGTTTTACATCTCAGTAATTTTATTTTGGGGGCTTGGTGTTACTTTGCTGTCAAATTAAATCAGCCTCTGTATTGTGCAAGTCAGAACAGCACAGAGAAAATTCGCCAGTGTTCCAGGCCCGTGCGCCCCTGTGCAGAAGAAAATAGGTGATCTGCGTCAGACAACGCGGTGAGCAAAGCCTCCGGTTTACTGCACTCTTCTCCTCCTCCTTAAATGGGAGAGGAAAAACTTCAAGACATTTACACTGCTGCATTCCAGTAAAATTTTATACTTGCTTTTGGTTTTGTACGATTTGAAATTTATAGCCGAGCTCTCTTGGCTTCACTTTGATGTAAGGATGTTCATACGACATCTTGTAGTTCAAAGGTGGGGCAGCGATGCAGAACACCTCACATGAACGAAGATGCTTTAATACGTCCTTGTCTGTGACGAAGGATGGTCCGATTTCACGTATCTTCAAGTGAATTTTCCAATTTTAGGGTAACTCTAGAAACGTCAAGGTGGGACCAGCTGCCCCGGGTGACTTAGCATATGTCTGTGGTCATTTCAGATGCACTCATACATAGCCAAGTGATTTCAAGCCCAGCCAAGGAAAACATAAGAAGGGAGGTAAAAGGATGCTAAGCGTTTACTTCGTGTACTTTCTAAACCAAACAAAAGTGATGTAATTATCTACCCATTGGATTGTCCGTGCCACTATAATGAGAGAGAGGTCTAGGAAAATGGCCTGAATCCTGGAGGGAGAGAAAGCGACCTTGTCCTGGGCTGGCTGGGGAATCTTGGTGAAGACTCACGCCCTCTCAGCGCCTGCTTCTCCGACTGGGAAGAAGAGAGTAAGACAAGATGTGCCGAATGTGACCTCAGGCCCCGACCCTTGTGCGAGTGGCTCGGAGGTGGTCCCCGTGGGAAAGGGTCCTGCACTCAAGGAGTTTGGGAGGGGGCTGTGGGGAACTAAAGCCAATTATTTTCTTGAAGAATGTGAGCTCAGGGAAGCTCCTTCTAATTTTTTTTTTTCTCTAGAGCTCTAGATTTGGGGGTGCAATCAACCCATTTCTAAATGGTGGCTCATAATGCAAAAATTAGAAGCAAAAACAGAACACTGCTGTGTGAGTGGGAGACAACATGTCTGTGGCTGGATCGGTTTGCTTTGTGTTGGGAGGTACTGGTCATCCAGATGCTTCTCTCCTGGACGGCTGCTGAGCTGTTGGCTGGACCACTGGACTGAGGTCAGTAAGTCACTGCTCCCAGTAGCACCGACCTCAGGATAGTCAGGTTAGGTGGAAGCTTGATCCTTCTACGAGCCACGGATGCTGGCTGCCACATCCCAACCTCCATCAAACATGGCGGAACATTGATTCCATCTCCAACTCCCCGTGTGTCTCATACAAGAGTGAGCAGGTTACCAAAATTTCCTGTCTCAGCTGGTCATTTAGCTAGTTGGTGGCAATGTTTTACAAGCGTACCTTACTTTATATCAACATGAATTTGTGAAAAGCTATATTTCAGTGGGTTTAAAAAAAAATTTTTTTAATGTATTTTGAATGACCCGAGGGGACTTGGCTATTGAAAATCATCCCAGGGTGAATCTTTTTTTTAATGAAAAACTCTTTTATAAAGCAACAAACAATCTCTGATTTTATAAATCTTAACTTTCCTAGGGTTTTTCTTAAAGTGGAATGCAACTGTAGGGATACATTTTAAAGATAATATCAGTGATCTAGAACCGAGTTTGGGTTATTGAAAATAAAACTTCAGTAATATGGATTGATCATTGCTGCAGTGACTCTACAAATGTGTGCTGTGTAATGGTTCAGGGAAGACAAATTTATTTTAGAACAGGGCAAACTAGAGTTTAAAGATCAGGGATTCCCCCTTTCTCCCCAGTACTGCTAATTTCATTGTACCTTCAGGTAAGGGCCTTAACCCATGGTGTCTCAGCTTCTCCCACAGAGAATAACTCCTGGGATGCTGGCACCGACTAATAAAGGGCACTTTGAATTCTTTCCTTTTCTCTCAGAGCAAGGTATACAAATGCCACTAACCATGATGCTCAAGACACTGCCAAGTTTCTTTCTCCAGCTGTACCTACACCTGGCCAGATCTCACCTGTTGAAGATGCATAGAGAAAAGAGCTTTCATGTTCCCCCTTGGCAACCTATACTGTTAAGTGGCTCTTAACGTCATGTGCTTTTTGATGGACAACCTGAATCCTCCTTGTTGTAAAGCATGATGGAGACAACTCGTGTCTCCTGTTGCATATGACCTTTGAGATTCTGGACGAAGCTAATATCCTTTACTTCACAATCCAGAAGAACCTATTTTTCATTTGTCAAGAGATAAAACAAGACAGGGGATTGGTGCTTCTAGATTCGAATCAAAACCCTGTCAATAGCATGATGGGTACCTGAGGGCAAGTTAAACTTCCCTTTCCTAAAATCCCTCCCCTAAAGCTCAGATGGGAAGAGTGGCCTTGTAAGAACGCATCGTGGCCACAGTTCTTGGCAGGACAGGTGAACGATTTGCAGCCTCACGCCAAAACGTATTTCCTTGCATTTACATTCAGTACTTAGAAGGATCACGTTATTCACTTTTTCCCCAGCATAGAAATTTGCATTTTGCACAAAATTTGCCTGGTGCAGCAGATTTTTATAGTTATGGAAACTCATCATTATTGGGATGTACCACTGCTCAGATCCCCAGACATAATTCAATATGGTGAGGAGAAAATGGTCTGCCTGGCCCTATGGTGACCATATTTCTACAACCACAGCAAACAGGGCTTGTGTATTTCTTCTCACTTCAGTTGTGATTCCCATACTTCTTGTGAGGGAGACCTTTGGCTTTTGAAACACTACATTTCTCAATATATAAGCACAAGTTTTTGCCCTTCTCTTTCAGATACTCATTAAACATAGGTGTCAGGACCCAAAAAATCCAGTGCCAGATTTGTAGCTTGTACAACCCTTTTCAGCCATGCTTTGTACTTATGTGGGGATGCATATAACTCAGTCTGAAGTATAGAACATTGAGTATATTACTTCACCACTGGAAGAAAAGAAGCCAGGGAAGATAGCCTCAGTCCGTTGAAGCCCTAGAGGATGACTCAATACCTTACATATGCAGTCAACTCTTCAGAACTTACTACTCTATTGATCGTTCACAACCAAGAAGCTCTTGGCTTCTTGGTGGTTTGTTTAAATGTATTTCCTCCTTTATATGGCTAAATTATTTTGTTTTGATAAAAATAAAACTGAAAATGGAAATGCCTTGTGTGATTTGTTCACATTTTAACCAAAACTACCACAAAAATTATCCTATATAAATTGGGTGTCCGATTATTCTTAAATAGTTGACCAGGCGTCCTGGCCGCCATATTGGTATCCCATTCCACTCAACGAAAGAATTGGGTTATGGCAAATTATCACATTTTCTTGTGCTGTTTTCTTTTCCCATGTGTCTCTTCTGTCATTGTCTGCCATATTTTATGGTTCATAACTTAGCAATGTGTTTTTAAATTCCTAAATGTAGCTAAAGTTTGAAGCCACACTTCAAAGGGCACTATCCACAGTGCAATAATCCCAAAGTTTTCCCCTTAGAATTGATGTTGCTTAGATAATTAATATTATTCATTAACAGAGAAAAAAAATCTGTAATTCAAAGCAGTGCCTCCTCATGAAGATAAATCATGTACTCTTGGCAAGAACAAGTAGACTTATTTTACATACCAACACAATATTCTTCTATGTCTATACCTCCTGAAGCCACGTGAAGTCAACGAAGACACAATGCATTGGGAGAAAAAGTGGGAATGGAAACATGGGAGGAACAGATACACCAACTGATGGATCTTCATAGCTTTTTTGCTAACTAATCAAACTCTAATAGCGATAAATTAATCCATTGTTTCCAAATTTCCATCATTTGAGAACCATCTTACTGCTTTTTGCCATATGTATCCACATGTGGGTACATTATTTACTTAATGCTTTTATTTAAATCATCTTTGTCTTCAAGAAGCTATTCTTTTCCTAAGTAATAATATCTGTGAAATAACCTTAATTTGGTAGTTGTGTGTATCTTCTGATATGCATTAAAATAAAAGTATTAAGACTGGTTATCCATGTACCAGTTAAATATCATCTTTGTACTACCCGGCACACCCCCCCCCCCCCCACACTCAGGGGAAGCATGGAGCTAATCTAAAAGGTACATGTGTTGTTAGTTCTTGAGTTACTCCGTTTTTTTGTTTTTGTTTTTTGTTGGTTTTTTTGCGGTACGCGGGCCTCTCACTGTTGTGGCCTCTCCCGTTGCGGAGCACAGGCTCCGGACGCGCAGGCTCAGCGGCCATGGCTCACGGGCCCAGCCGCTCCGTGGCATGTGGGATCTTCCACGGACCGGGGCACGAACCCACGTCCCCTGCATCGGCAGGCGGACTCTCAACCACTGCGCCACCAGGGAAGCTCAAGTGATTTCGGGTTTTGTTAAGCTCAGCTCTCTCTCCAGTCCAGCGGAACTGGTGGCGGCAAGTTGCGTTGTAGGTTTATCAGATCAGCGTCTTCAGTCAAACTTTACAGCTGGTTAATTAGCATTCCAAGTCAGAGGATTCTCACTTCCTTTAGTCTCAAAGGAACAATCATATAATGTCAATATATATATTTTCTTTTTTGGTATTTTATTGGTTGGTTGGTTGGTTAATGAGTACAGAATGATATACAGGAAAGCGTAGTTAGGGATTCGTGCTGAACCACCAGTAACTCCCATCAGTTCTGATGAAACACCCGCTTCCATACTCTTGAACTCGAAGCAAATGCGTTTGGCTGTACTACCTGCACTAACTTGGCTGTACTAACCCTAATTCCCCAGCCTCCTGCTTGGGGACAGCCTGTTGATCTCTGGGCTGCAAACGCAGAAGGAATGGCTTGGTGACATCTAGGACATTTGTCTCCAGCTGCGACAGACGTCTGCTTTCAGCCTCCCTCAGCTTCTGCCGGGGGGCAAACTCAACACCCTTTACAACTGAGCATCCAGGCGATTTCTATCCAGAAGTAGGGGAATTGTTTTCTGGATAAATGCAGGCGTGAACGGATTCCTATAGGGAATTGGCGGTTTTGTATGTGCAGCATCTGGGCACGGGACCCAGCCCTGTCTCTGGCCCCAGTGGCAATCTAGTTTGTCTTCTATGTGTATGTTGTGTGAAACAGAGTAGAATTCAGCAGAATCCAGCAGAAATTCAGACAGAGCCCCTTGACGCCATCGTAAATGAAAGGCCAGATATCTAGGCTTGTGTTTGGTCTAAAGAACCCCACCTTATGCGCATGCGGGCACACGTGCGTGCGCACACACACAGACACACGCACGTAAGCCACACCCTACTCTGAGAGTCCTCTTCTTGTTAAAATAAAGAATTGGGTGGAGTGGGCCAATGAGGTAAGAAATGGCCCCATAGACGGCCCCAAAGAGACTTCCTTGGAGGCAGGGCCCATGGTGTCTTCATCTGGGAATAGTGCCTGGCTCAGAGCAGGTATTAACGCACACTTGCTAAGTAAACGAATGGAAATAACTCACCAGGCAGGGAGACAAAAGAAGGATTCTAAGATGAGTAATTTGACACACCCCTTTTCTGATGGAGACCTGCCTCCTTATCGGAGATGAACAAAGGCATCGAGAGAAGTGCCTGCCCACCAACTTCAGAATTAAGCGACAATTTTCCATTACCTATTCCATCCCGTTCATTCGCCCAATATTTATTGAGTACTTAAGTACATAGCAGACACAGGAGAATATAGGAGTGGAAAAGGCATACAGGATCCGTGGAGCTTTTATTTGGGGGAGAGAATGCCAATTCATGAACCAACCAGGCAAACAAATGTGTAAGCAACGTTTTATCAGACGTTGCCGATGGCTAAGAAAGCAAAGGGAATGTTAGAAGGTTTATCTTACCCTAATTCAAAACGTTTAATGCAAATAAACATTTTTCTTTCTTTTTTTTTTTTTTTAACATTTTTCTTTTGTTGTCCTCAGTAGAAGAGAAACCATCCTACACATTAAGATCTATCTCCTTTTCTGTTTCATGCCACCACCTCAATTCTTCGCACATGAAGCAGAGAATGTTGCAGGATGACGTGTCTCTAGTCTTGTACTTATAATTTCTTTTACTCTCCTGAAAGCTTCAGTTAGCATCAGTAAGCATGGTAATTTGGGGCTGCCTGTGCTAATGTGCTGAATTCCACATACCTTAGCACTTAGAGAGTGAACGCCTGTTGGATCCCACGGTAGCAGAGAAACCCAGGTGGGCACTATTTTGCAGCTGATTTTCTCAACAGAAACCATCAAATATTTGATGACTTGATGTGCTCAAGTCTGGATTCTTTTTCTCAGGAAAGGTTAAGAAAGCATCCTTAAAGTCAGAGGTTCTCAAAAGGGAGCAGTTTACCTCCCTGAAGACGTAAGACAATGACCAAAGACAGTTTAAAAAAAAAATTTTTATGTTTTATTTTTAAAAATTGATTTTATTGAGGTATAGTTGATTTACAATGTTATGTTAATTTATGTTGTACAACAAAATAATTCAGTTATACACATATACGTTCTTTTTCGTACTCTTTTCCATTATGGTTTATTATGGGATATTGAATATAGTCCCCTGTGCAATACAGTAGGACCTTGCTGTTTACCTATCCTATATAAAATAGTTTGCGTCTGCTAATCCCAAACTCCCAATCCATTCCTTCCCCACCTCCCCCTTGGTAACCACAAGTCTGTTCTCTC